AAACCGATCGACTTTTCGGCTTACTACTGACACGAAGTGTATGTTGAAATGCTATTTAAAGTATGACACCTAACATTAAAAACACCAAATAGAGAAAAATGGGGTGTCGACTTCTGCTGGGTCTTATAAGTATTTAGACATAAAGAAGGTAATATATATGTTTGTATGTTTGCATATGTAGTATGTATGTATATCCCATTTATAGAGAAACTAGAAACGTAAAATGAACGTGTGTAGAGTATGTGCTTTCCATATACAGTAGTGACATGACGAGGGTATTATGATCTCTGTGTAGGTTGTACCTTGTACCAAAAATGACATTTGTGAAAAAGAAGCAATTAAGATCAATCTTCCTCGCTTCTTAAAACTACTAAAACTATAAAGTACATTGTAATTAGAACTTTCTTATAATAAGTTATTGCATGAATTACAGTTATGAGGTACTGTATTTCCTAATAATAAAACTTCTGTACAATTTATAACTTTGCATTCGTATTATTTCTAATTAATAACCGCAATTTTATCAAAACAGATAGAATATAGGCATGAGTATATAATAATTTATGTAAATATCAATTAGTGGTTTCTTTTTTAAATGGAATGCTTCTTGTCACAACAATGTTTTGAGCTATGACTCCTGAACTAGTCTGGAGCCAGGCCGGCTCTGTCTGACACACAACCGGCCAGGGCAAGTGGTTCCAGGCGCCTACAAGGACCCCTTTGGAGCCTCCGCCCACAACACAACTGCTACACATAGATAAGTTAACCAATAGGAATATGTAATGTACTATAATACACTTATTCTAGAGATCTACACAACACACAAAGATAATCTTATGTAGAAATACAGATAGGACTTGCGTCGCAATATAACGACACAAAATCATTAATAATATTCAACCAGTAATAATGAAAAACGTTTTAAGCAAAGTTATATTAGCAAACGCTATAGTCAATAGAGGCTAAATTTTAAATAAGCATTGCCGACAGACATATTCATTTTTATTTATTTATTTATTTATTTATATTTATCATGGAAATATGTCGTTGTTCTGTAACTGGAATTAGTCTAAACGAGTTTCGATTTTAGGCCTGAGTAACCAATATTCACCTACTACGTCCTACGTCGCTAGTTTGTGCTCTGAACACTGAAATCATTATTTTATGTTATTCCATCTTGCCTTGTACAGCTATTTCATCATCGTTTTACAGCTCAACACGAATGAGACTGAGGATCAACTTTTCAACTATTTCACATGCCTAGCTCCATTACCATACCATTAAAGGAGGATCATGATAAGTCCACATTTTTTGGTCAGAAAAGTGGAGAATTTTCCATGCTCATGGATCAACAAAATGCTAATTTATCGTGATTGCGACTTGATTCAAGCTTTAACAGTAGATTTTTATCACGTGGTGACGTACATTTATCTATGTGTATAATTTAATAACTATTGCGACCCATCACAGCCATTTTGAAATATCATTCAATCTTTCCATTCTCTATATCCTAATTAGTTTTATCAGCACCTTTGTTCATCTTTCTCTCCATGTTAGGACTTGCTAGATACTCAGGACATTTTCCCAGCGACTTTGTGCGTATGTCTCAAATATTCCTTCCGATTTTTCCAATCTATTTTTTATCTTCTTATGCAGGTCGAGATTTGTTCGAAATTATAGTGTCACCATTGCCTTTCGTTTAATCATTGAATTTAAATTTTTCATTAAAAAGGCTATTCTATTTAATTTGAATTGAAAGAGTGTTTCGCCCTGCTCTAGTAAACATTCTTCGTGTCTTAGTATTGGAATCCAGTTCCTCTAAGATCAATCCAGATGAAATAGCTGTACGTCTGATGACCAAGGCAGATACTGATTCCAACCAGGAGAGAAAATATTCATTCATAAAGTGTTGTCTGGTTTAAACCGTGGCCTCATACGTTTTTTAATACTGGTTAAAATCGATGCGAAAGCGATCGAAGTACACCACATGCGGCTCATTTTTTCACAGTTTTGGAATTCATGAAAATATTGCTTCAGAATTTTTCCTCTCGTAACTGGTTGGTAGAGATCGTGTATTGTATTGACCCGTACATTGCACGCGTGCGTTTGTGTACTTTTTTTTGTACACTTACGCCGACGCGAATCCAATTCTATTTACTGGATTGCTCTTTTTTCTAGACCTGGGTTTATTGGCACAATTAGTTATTACATTATCGGCACACAAGTTCATAATTTCTCTAAGCGTCATAATTATTTGATTACGATTTTTACTACAGATATTTCGCCTAGGAGAGTATCGCTTGAACAATCAACAAATTTTCCATTTGGGTTTATTGGTCTCTCAAACTGCCTACTATGGTTAAGAATAATAATAATAACAAATACTTACAATATATGTATGTACCAGTACATAATAAACCATATTATTTGCTAACTTCCGCATATAGCACGGAAAATGTATAGTGTGTATAGTGTGTATTACTGGCATTTGTGACTATATTTTAATATAATACTTTTAAGTTACCGTGACATATCACATTTAGATATGGTCCTTTTTAAAGATAATTTGCACTGTACAGCATATCCGGTATTTTTTATTTAACTATTTATTGCGTTATACATATGATTGCGATTTTGAATGTAAAGCTTAAATTTGGAATTTTAATTAAGCACACCTACAATCAGTGTAGAGTGTCGTAAAATGTTCAAGATGAAAGTTTGAACACGTCAGCCAGTGTATACACTGAATTATGTGTTTCATCAAGTCCCAATTGAATTGCTTTGAGGACAATTTTTTTCTTACCCCCAGCAACAACTTGAGCCACCCCATTTTCCTATGTCCTGTTAAGTTTTACCCTTAAGCGCCAATTATAATTTCTAGCATCAAACATTGCCCTATTAAAACTTCCTATTTGATCTATTTACTTTTACATGTACAATTAAAATGCTTTGATTCTAAAATGGAGCCAAGTAGAACATAGCAAACGATATTTTGGTATATTCCATTTGACAGTAAGAAATTCAATGAATCTTCAAGTATATGTACAGTTGGGTTGCAATAATTCAAGTTCACAATACCTCGCGCATATCAATAAAAAAATTCAAATGTTTCGAGTGGAGGAGGATCATTTATATACACATCTATTTCATCATCGACTAGAACAATAAACCCAGGCCTATTTGTAGCGTTTTCAGCTTATATCACAAGCGGGAGTTTTCATTTTTAGGTGTGTAAGCTACCAAATTTATAAGTAATAATGTGCTGGATCTATTTTCAGGCAGTCTAAAAATTATACTTCGCTGAGGGACAATCATATATTATTTAATTCAAATACTGAATACACTATAACGACAATTATTTTTAAAGCGATCACAGTCATTTTGAGTATATTATATGTTTTACCCGCTGAGACAGGGCTACATTCCTACAATAAGCGATGTTACTTTCCGACCAGACACGTGTAACATGTACAAAGAATGTAAAAGTTTTCAGTGATTAGTTCAAATAAATATGGTTGATTTCTAGATATCGAGGAAACGTGAAACTCTGAAATAATTTTACCACGCCTTGTACAAGTCACGTTACTCAAGTGAAACTGTAGAAATGCATATAGAATGATAGCCTGCCTAATTATAGTGCACTTTGCAATATATGCAAACAAATAATAAAATGCTCCCGCAACTGTTTTGTTAAAGCTATTGAGACTCCTAAATTGTACTTATTTGCTTATTGATTCGCTTGATCGAATTTCAACGTATAATTTTTTCTATGTATATACAGTTTCGTTAATCTGCGCTGCTTTTTAATGATGTGCGTTTGCCTTTTTATCAGCCTCAACGACAATACAGCGTCCTGTAAATTCGAGACTTCTGCCTCGTTTATCGTGTTAGTTATGTAGTACTTTTCATAAATAGAATTTTCTGAAACGTTCTACATAACTGTTCACACGATGAGTCAGAAATCAGTTCAAATTTGAAATCGTCTGTGGCCGATGTCGACCTTTTGATAAAAACTAAGCGTGTCAGAGCGTAGAGTTAAGAAAATGGTTCAGTCTGTCCCGAGGCGTGGATTAACTATGGAGAGATTTCTGATAATAGGTAATACGAAATCAGATCTAAGGATGTGGCTGGTTAGTCTGTAAGTGTTAACTAGCAGCTCTCTCTCCAAGCCAAAGTAGAGAGGCTAGGGCCAAGGATGACGTGCTCTTGTGCAATGCGCAGAAAAATAGGTTTTTCATTCATCGATGCTAGCTAAGACTGAGAAGCACAACTGGGAAGAAAAAACAAACAAAAGATAGACATAAATTATAAATAAACTTTAATCTGTATTCTCAAAACTGAAAAATGAAGAACTAAAGTTAAAACGTTATAAATAATAACTAAATTAATAAATTATATAAATAAATAAAAGCCTAATTGTCAAGGTATCAAACAAAAAAAATAAACTCAAAATTAAAGAAGGTTGTTGTGGCCTCGCCAAAGCATTGCCGTCTTTCATGAAGGCATTGAAGCAAAACCACGCAGTTTTGGAAAGGAAAAGCTGACTTCAAAATTATAGTAACGTCAAACTAAACACAACACACAAATAGGTCAGTCAGTAGCTCGCCTTTATCCCAATAACTTCAGAAAAGTGAGTATTGGATAAATCAATAATGAAAACTACTGATAACCAATGGTTAGCAACCGACTGACCTAAAACGAAAAAGCTACACTAAGCGAGAAAGGGCAGTCATCAGTATCTGTTACTTACAAGTCAGTCTGCGCTTACGCGGTACTATAGAGCTAGTAAAACTATCCTATCACAAAACTAGATGTTGCCCTTAACGCTATATGCTGCTCTGAACACAAATATTACAAATACGAAAGCAAAACTGACCACCGAATCATGTGAAACACGACGCAATACGAACAAAAACAACTTGCCATTTTGCTATTCAATGACCATTGCCTTTGCACTCCTAAAAGATACCTGGTATAGTTCTGGATGGATACAGCACTGCTTAATCTTCAGAAAAAATCATGATCTGTTTATTAAGAAAATGAAATACCTACACTGTCGGTGTCATTCGCAATGTCTAAATTGAATTTGAAACAGGTAAATTTCTGAACAAATGAAGCGTTTTTAGTGAATCCGTGGCCAATTTACGCGACTAGTTTCAATATAGTTACACAGTTAATCACTATGGGTTTAAATACTTAAATCACTAAAAAGTAGGTACATCGAAACTAATTGATAGAAGAAATATATAATAAATACTATTTCGTAAACCAAAGCGTATGAATTGCGATTTAACTTCCGACACAAACGGTGATGGCACGATTAATACATTTACTAATTATTAAACATGGTACCATTTAATGAATACATATTAGGAAACGTGAATGCACTCCTGACTAGCATCGTATTTTAAGTACTAGAATAAATGAAAGGGACGCAGCCGGCCGGCGCAATAAAACTTTGTAATACGTATTACTCAGCACAGTGGACTCCTCATTCAGATTATAAACAGAAATTAAAGGATTCGCGATAGATCAATAGATCTATAGGTCGATATCAGAGGATGCAAATTCTTTAAAACCCTAGTATATATTCTATTAAGTCAGATTAGCTGCTCGGAATAAAAGTACACAAAGCCGAAATACGTGACCGGACGTCCCCAAACCCGCACCCTCCCTTGGCACTTTCCGCCCAAATTGCCTAAAAACCAGGGACATCGAAAATTCACCCTAGAATAATTAATAATGAATAAGTTAAAACGGCGGAAGGTACCTAAGAAGATTTCCGATGCGATGCTGTCTAAAATGTATCGTCACTTCATGTCGTTTTACTCTTATTTGTTTTGAAACTGACCTGCAATACCCGATTGCCCAACGTATAGCCATTCAAAGACTGAATTGCTACCACAGCCTCGTCATAGTTGGTCATAGTAACAAAACCAAAACCCTTACATTTGTTGGTCTGCAAGTCGCGAATCACCTTTACACTCTGTACAGCTCCAAATGGCCCAAACAGTTGCCACAGTACGTTTTCCTCGGTTTCTGGTGCCAAATTGTACACAAAGATGCACCATCCTGATCCATTCATTGCATTTCCGGGTAACATTGAATTTGCTAGCAGATCCCCAGCTAAGGGGGAGTATCTGCAACAACAACCGCCGTACAGCAATTCTTGTCACCACAATTTCCGCGAGTGTTCGAAACATCGAAGGACCACATTTAATTGATTATAATTTCGTATGTGGAGAGAACAACGTTTGTAAACTTGCGAGTCGAGAAGGGGAAATGAAATCAAATAGAGAAGAAATCCTCAATATTGTAGAGTGCTTCTACGCAGAGTTGT